ATATCGGCATTCTGCAACCAACAAAGCACGATGACACGTCGTTGAGTCATTCGTCCATATATGATGCTAGAGTGGCGTTCACAGCTAGCAATCTCGGAATGAACTATTTGTACACTAGCAGCCGTCTAGTCAGAAAGTTGACATTTTGTCGGAGTTTTTTGACATTTTTATTATCATGTAAAAAACCTATAAAACGTCAAAAAAATCCATAAAATGTCACCTTGCAGACTAGGTAGTCTTTAGGGTGCAAAGTCATTCCACGTTTGCTCACTAGGATCGTTGTGAGCGTCCATCTATGGAGGTATGGATCAACTATACGCATTGTTGGTTGCATATGTTTTGTGAAGCCGAGTAGTCTACAGTTTTCAATCTCTGAGAAGAAAGTTGATTGAATAGCAAAATCGTATCTGGATGATTGTGTATATTGGTGTGCATGTTTATAAAATCAGTGATATTAGCTGTGTGAGAAAATCATTACTGAATATGCTGCTAATGAAGTATATCTATTAGCTGTGCCTGACGGGTTCTTTATGTTGTCCTTTCTGAAGACAGGTTATGTTCAAAGCTATAAATTACGATTTTTTACGTTTTCAAAAACTTTGAGGATTAAGGAAAATCACCACCGCGCCCGCGTTGTGTGTAATTACATGTATATGACTTGTAATTCGACAGTGCACAGTGAATGTAACTATTTATCTCCCTCATTTTTGAAAAATGTATGAGAAAAAGTGGATGCGCAACTAATTTCTAGCTTTGAGAAGTGTGTCTTTTTTTTGAAATAATTTATTTAAACACAATAATACAAAATGTATAACCAGTTTTAACAATAATTCCCCAATCAGTGTTTGCAAACAGTTTGCAATCAGTGTTTGCAAACACTGGCCCCGAGAATAACAAGACAATAATCAATATCTATGAACTACAGGTACACTGCAATGTTGCTCATAATTTCAACAAATAAATTCATTAACATTTTTGAAATCTTTCAATACTCTAACAAAACTTCTATAGTTATTTGAATATTTTATACAATGAGGTAAATTATTAAATTTCTTAATTGCGTCTGTGATCGGATTTTTTAAACCTATATTAGTTCTTGTGGAAATTTGATAAACATTATTTAGTGATCTTGTTTGGTGATCATGCACGTTATGGTAGAACCTAATATTTATGTTACTTTTTAGTAGATTATTTATAATTTTATAAACAAGTGTACATTGTTCCACCTCCAATAACACTCTTAATTTGTTTAAATTTAAATAAAGTGTATTAGAACTTGTAAGCCAATCAAAATTAAACAATATTTTCAGAATTTTATTTTGTAAAACTTGAGCTTTATTAAAATTAACTTCACCGCACATACCCCATACTGGCAAGAGGTACCTAAAATGTGTGAGAAAGAAGGCATTATAAATTTGAAATTTGCTTTTGTTGGACAAATAATATCGACTCTTATATAAGGCAGATAGCATTGAAACTATTTTATCACAAATTCCATTTAAGTGAAGTGACCAATTTAAACTTTCATCTATTAGTAATCCCAAATATTTAATACTTGACACTTTTTCTAGTGCTATATTATTTATGTTAATATTTAGATTATTGCTAACTATCTTATTTTTTTGTTTAAATATAATGTATTTTGTTTTTTCAATGTTAATTTTTAATCTAATCGAAAACAGCCATTTAAGATAACTATTCAGGTCATCATTAATAAGATTCGTTAAAGCAATTTCGTCTGTTCCAGTATATACCAGTACAGTGTCATCTGCAAAGGTAAAATATCTTCCCCTCAGATTGGCCAACTTGAGATTCAGTACATAAAGACTGTATAACAGAGGTCCAAGAACTGACCCCTGTGGTGATCCATAGGTGCTAGATAACCATTCACTACCAATGTCTCCAAGCTTTATGTACTGTTTTCAGTCATATAAATAAGATTTAATCAAGCTGTACGAAACACCTCTAAATCCCATTTTAAACAATTTATCCAAAAGAATGTCTATGCTTACTACGTCAAAAGCTTTTTTAGGTCAATGAAAACAGCTACAACTATTTATTGTTTATCTAGAGCCATTGAAATGTAGTCCACAAAATCAACAACAGCACTAAGTGAGCTACTGTTCGTTATAAAACCATATTGAAATTCATCAATCAATATATTGTGAGTAACAATGAAAGATAACATTCTTTTTTTTTATTAATTTTTCTATAATCTTAGAGAATACACATACCACTGAAATAGGCCTGTAATTGTTCATGCATTTAATATCTCCCGACTTAAAAAGTGGGGTTATTTTACTTATTTTCAATTCTGATGGAAAGATTCCTTTTTGTATAGTTTCATTGATTAATCGTACTAAAACAGGTATTATACTAAGTGACATATAAATCCGAACACCCAGTTTAAATGGTTTTATTTTAATAAAAGTTGGTGAATGTATTTATCTTACTGTAAATAACAAGTGAAAAAATTTTCAGCCTTATCAGTTGGACATTCCGGTTTTTATACTGCTTTTTTTTAATTCACTAACGCTCTAAAAATGAATATTTCAGCCGCAGTAAAGAATCAACGTTGGCGGATTTTGGTTCTTGACATCCTTTACGATCGGTTACGATGCCTAGAGTACGGAGACCTGTACGATTTCGTCAACTTAGTGAGTTTGATAGGGGCCGTATAGTGGGACTTCGGGAAGCTGGACTTTCTTTTCGGGCAATTGCAGTTAGAGTGCAAAGAAGTGTAGACACTGTGGTTAGGTGTTGTCAGGCATGGCTTCGAGAAGGCCGTACGCAAAGAGCAAGGGGCACTGGACGCCGCCGTAGAATAACAGACCGTGAAGATCACCGCCTAAGATTATTGGCCTTAAGGGACCGTTTCTCCACTACCAGGTAAATTGCAAATGAATGGTTTGCAGAACACGGACGATCTATTGGCATGCGAAGTGTTTACCGACGAATGAGAAGTTTTGGCTTGTTTTCATACCGGCCACACTGGGTCCTCCCTTTAACTCGAGAACACCGACGTAATCGCCTTGAGTGGTGCAGATAACGGTCACTCTGGGATCAGGAATGGAACAGTATTGTCTTTAGTGACGAGTCTCGATTTTGTTTAGGCATGCACGATGGTCGTGCCAGGGTTAGAAGGCGACGTGGTGAAAGGAGGAATCCACAGTTTTTTGTTGGAAGACATGTTCATCACACTGTTGGAGTTATGGTTTGGGGTGCTATAGCTTATGGTTCCAGGTCACCTTTAATCTTCATCAGAGGTAACATGAACGCGCAGCGTTATATCCACGATGTTCTAGAACCTCATCTTTTACCCTATCTTGACACCCTGGCAGATCCAACTTTCCAACAAGATAATGCCCGACCACATGTTGCAAGTGTCACAATAGACTTCTTTCAACATAATGATGTCACATTGTTACCATGGCCACCAAGATCTCCCGACTTATCCCCAATTGAGCACGTGTGGGATATGATGGGTAGGATATTGCTCAATTTGCAACGTCCTCCTCAGACTCTAGAAGCACTTCGGGAGGAGTTGGTGGTTGTCTGGAATGAGATACCACAGGAGGACATTGACCACCTGATCAGAAGCATGCCTAGGCGCGTTGGAGAATGCGTAGCATCCACACATTATTAAAGGTCAAAGGGCTTTAAAGCAGTGCAATCATTTTGAAATTTTTATCATTTACTTATTATGCTTCAATAAGTACTTATACAAAATTTTATTAAAATAAAACCATTTAAACTGGGTGTTCGGATTTATATGTCACTTAGTATATTTATCCTTAACCGTGATACCGTCATATCCAGGTGCTGAGTTTATTTTTAGTTCTTTCACAACTTCGAACAACTCTTCTTTATTAGTCAATGTTATCGAAATAGAATCTTCGTAGTGAACCTCACCAACAGAAATAAACTCATTCAATTGCTGAATCTCTGCTTCCAAATTTTCAACAATTGATCCACCGACCCGAGAAAAGTATTTATTTAAATTGTTTGCAATATCAAGTTGAGTGTTAAAACTGTTATTTTCAGTTACTAGTTGATCAATTCTTACTTTATACTCCTTATTTTTTATTAGGCTGTTTATAAAAGCCCATTGTTTCTTTACATTATTTCAAGCTAAGCTCCATTTAGTTTGGAAATAACGGTTCTTCAAAGCACGTATTTTATTGTTTATTTTATTTTTGATGTTTTTAAATTCAAAGATGATAGTTAAGTCTTCTGGTTGGTTAATCTTTCTTTTGTAAAATTTATCTCTTTTTTTGATAAGCTCAAGGACTTCATTACTTATCCAGGTGTTATTTGTACGTATTCTTAATTTTTTTATATATACCGATTTACTTTTGCAGTCTTCAATTAAATTAATTAATTCTTGAAAAGTTGTTACATTTATGCTTAAAATTTTTTGTCTAAATAAGTTTACACATTTTTTATAATCTACAGATTTTACCTCATAATCAACTTTTGGTTTATGAAACTGCACATATGTTTTAATATCATTGAGACAAGAATCCAATGGAATTATCATCAACACATATTATTAGCACACAAATCCTCACTATGCATCTTTGCATTTCTGTTACCTCCAGTAATGCCATCTCTGAAGCAGATTTTACATCATATCAGAGCCAAACATTGATAACTGAAGCCTCATGACGTTTAGGGAACACGTACAACTACAAAACGAGTTCGCAGAGAGTCCATCAGCTAGTGCCAAGTTAACATCTTGTAGAAAAACCTACATGTCACAAAAAACAAATATAATGTCAAAAAATCGACATAATGTCACTTTTCAAGATACGTAATACCCGTGCGGCACTAAATGCGAGAATGGCAAGTATACGCCAGAGGTATACAGGGCGAATGTTGACCCGTTGTTTTTTTTCTCCGAAATAATGCTGATACGACACTCCCATACGGAGTTTAAAACTGTTCTAGACTGATGGAGTGAAACGCAGAATGATTTTTAAACAAACTCAGTCACCCACCTGCTGTTGCATGATGAGCCTCTGTTGCGCTGCGGCCATCTCGTGCTGCAACGCCGCAGCCGCGCCCCACGGTTCTGCCGCCATAGCCGCCCTCGCTTGCGCCTGCTTGTAGGCAGCCATCTGCAGGTATTGCAGCTGTAGGAGTTCTGCCGCGGCCGCCGCTGCGTCTTTGCCGCCCACTCCCACTGTAGGCGAGGCGGCGGCGCCCAAAGAGCCCGCCCCCGTTGCGTCAGCCTTCAGAGGCGGGATCCGGAGCACAGCCATCGAGAACGGATTTGACGCGCCGCCGCACAAAGCGATCAGTTCGCCTAGGAGGAAGAAGCGCTCGTCATGGTGACGCCGGACCTGTAACGAATGTCGGAGTTGGTTATTGAATATAGGCCATTTATGACCAAAAACGTATATCTACCAAAATTATAGTTTAAAGTGGATAATAAAGATTCCGAACATGTCGATTTGCTATATGAAAACGCATAAACCTTTGAGAGCACGTGCCGAAAAAATAGGTATTTTCATGTAACAATGGTCTGTTGCAAGTGATATACCTGTAAACCTTCAGTTTTCAAATAACAATGTCCATTGGCTGAAATCTAGAAAAATCTATTAAACATTCCTCACCTTCAACTGATTACTGAAATACCCCGCCTTGTACCACTCTGCCATCTCTAAGTCCGTGAACGGTCCCTGAGTCTGCCCCTGAGGATCTTGATAGAACCATTTGTCGTTATGCGGGGTGGTTTGCTGATGATGCATGGCGGGTGGCGGTGCCAAATTAGGCGGCACTACCGTTGATGACGTCACGCTGACCCCCGCTGGAGCTTCGAAGCCAGCAGGAGGTTGCCGTTGGTGCTGTTGCTGCTGCAGTCTGCGGGGTGGTTCCTCGTCCACGACTAGTTTCAATACGAAGTCTTCTTGAAGTTTCTCGAAGTCCGGCTCCTCCGACGTCCTGAAATTGGAATATTTTTGAGGATTTGTAGTAATGCCATTGAAAAGACCATTATTTAACACTATTTTGACTTAGACAAGGACTGATAATGTCTTTTTTCACTACTAACCTGATAAATCGTAATTATTTACCACTTTCATGTATATTTCTACCATTTTTGATATTACTAATAATTATTGTTTACTACTAGTAAATGCATAGTCTATTTTATGAGTGAAACTGTTGTTGTTGATTGTCTTTATTTATTCAATTATTTTGACAGCTTGAAAGACTCATGCTGCTTGGAGAAGTTGAGTATTTCAAAATGAGTGGGAAACAAAGGATATGTCGATGAACATAGTATCCTATGTTCCTACATATAGTCAACGCCAAACAAAGTGGCGTGCACGTCATCAAGGTGGGTGTGTTGAAAAATTTACATTGTTGCCAAACTTTTTGTAAAATAATAAAATTTATTATTTACATATCTAGGTTTATATGCAATATTAACCTCAAATGAGAACAAAAATAATAGTATAATAAAATTATAGATCTGTACTTGCATAATCATTAAGTATGACAATTATTGATCAGATGACACTATGAAACTACCATATTTAATTGATAGCTTAAAGGTACTGAATAAAAATCCAAATGGGGTCCTCCAAATTTTATGCATGGTATTTATTTTACAGAATTCATACAGAAAAATGCATTCTAAAATTAGGTAAGCTACTGGTGTAAGCTTTTTCTGTACAATAAAGTTAGTCGGAGTTTCTTTCTTCAGCGCTGTCTGAATCTGAATCTTCATCACTCTCAAAGTTGATTATTAAAGGTTCGATGTCTAGTCGATCAAAAATTCGTTCTCTTTCATACCATTTAAAAATTTCTTGCTCAGTATGTCGAACACTATTTTTCCACATGTCTGGGGTAACCGTTTGTAGAGCCTCGTTCCACATATCCAAACAGTCTTTTTCACTGTTACCATCTCTACCAATATGTCTGTTATAGTAACCTTTTGCTATGCCCCAAATTAACTCAATAGGGTTAAATATACAATGGTAAGGATGCAGACGAAGAACTTTGTGCCCATGTTGTTCCGCCAATTCATCAATCACGTATATTTTAGGTGGTTTGTTTCTAAAAAAGCAGTTATTTTAAGAATAGGAATAAACAAAAGAAATATAAACTGTCGACCAAAATATATATAATTAAGAAGCATTATGTACCGAGCAACAATACTCAATAGCTCTGTTTTAAACATTGTGTTTAAAAATGGTATGTTTTGATTTGTCAACCAGTCTTGGATATTTTTTTTTGTCCATGCATTGTTGGGCACTTTGTTCAATATCATGCTGTGATAAGGGGCGTTATCCAGTATAATCATAGATGGACTCTCCAATTTTTCTAATAACTGATGTTGAAACCATTACAAAAAATTGTCCTGGTTCATCTCTGCATGGTAATCGCTCAATTTTGTTTTCGAAGAAAATATCGCTTCACTACCCTCAATAAACCCATTTTCATTTCCAGCATGTAATATAATGTATCTAAAATATATTAGTTTTAAATTTTATAGTGCAAATTGTGTAAAAGTACATACCTTTTACCATCTGTTTTAATAGCTTTCACGCTTTTTTGGTTTCCATTTTGCCAAGAGCGACCTATGGTCCCATTTTGAAATATCCAAGTTTCATCGAGGAAGACAAACTGGTATAAGGCCTCAACCTTGGCTTGATTGTATTGCCTTAGAAATTCCACCCTTTTCAAAGCTATACTTGGTAGTTCCATGAGCCCTCGTCGCGGATTGTCCTTAAGCCACTTAAATCCAAGATCTCTAAGCAACCGCCTTAAAGACGTGGCACTACCATCAAATAATGCCCTATCTCTTAATCGAGACCATAAAGTTTGTATCGTAACTTGTTCTTCTGAAACCATGTGTAATATGACATTATAATTTAGTTAACAAATTAATGCAAATTTCTGATAAGTTATTATAATAAGATCTTACTTTTGTGATACATATTATAGATCACTTCTCGAATGGCACTTGTATCCAATGTCGCTGTGTTGGTTACACGTTTAATATAACTCCGCTTTTTCTTGGGCGATTCTAAATTTGCATCACTTTTCACACCCTCGGAAATACGACTAACTGTCCTTAAACTAATTTTTAAAGCAGCAGCAACACGCTACAAAAAATGAAATAAAATTTCACTATTATTAATATACATTACATATAATTATTAGTAACCTACCTCTTGAACAGCATTTAAAGGCAACAAAGGCCCGTTGTTGTCCCTTTCTTGCTCAAAGTAGTGCATTAACGAGGCCACGAGTTCCTTACACCGACTATTTAACTGTTTGGGCATCTTTATATACCAAAATTGCCTTTATCTACTCGTAAAATGAATAATTTTGTTTTGAAACAAACAGTTGTTGATTTACAGTATGCGGGGCCAAAGGATTTATAAAGATTTGAAATGCCACAAATTGATTCAGTGTCAAAAATAATACAAATGTCAGTTCCCAGTTTAAATAAGTTTCAAGGTGACAATGTGTCAACGCTGCGAAATCGATTTAGTGCGTTTACTTGTCGATAAGTGATTGGAGCGTTTGCAAAACATTTTATTTCGCATAATGCGTCTAAATTTATCAGAAAGCAACTTATGTGATATTTTAATAACAATGTTTATATGACTATTAACCATAATAAGAGAGTAATGACCATTTTACAATTTATATATCACATTAATATGAAACTGCAATAGAGCAATTGTTTGTGATAGAAACCTAGGCATTAGGTCGGGGAATTTTTATCGTGATGACGTGCACGCCACTTTGTTTGGCGTTGACTATAGCGGTATTGTTCCTCTCCTACGCACCATCCTGTAATGCAGACATTGCATTGACTTTATCTGAAAACGTTGCCGGAAGTTAAGGACATTATCAGGAATGCTTTATGAACCAGCTCTGCAAGATCAAATCGATTTACACCTTATCGGTGCAGCTGGTTTATTAACAACAAGTTGCCAGTGGACAGGCATGTGGGGTAGCACAATGCTGGTACATTGGAATCGGCAAAAAACGTCAAAGATGGCTTAGTTGCTACTACTATTACTACTCTACCAGTACTACATCAGATATGCTATGTTCCACAGCTTAATCAAACCAATATTTCATGATTAGTAGTGAAATTCTATACACACCTCGAAGCAGACTATTTTTGGCATGATTATCAATAAAATTACATAAATATCCTGGTAAATGTACTATTTCAACAATACTGTTATATAAATGCTTAGACTAACTACTCTACTAGACGCACCAACATATAAACAACTTTGACAGCATTGCCAAAGTGATGGTTTGAAACAAATCGTTCTCAAAACATGCAGCCTCTGCTGCTGAAAATCTGTTATAAAAACGCCTGGCAACAGGAAAATAAGTAGAAAAGTTGGCTGATCAGCTTTTAAGTTGGATATTTACTATATCTGTAATTATATTCATCTATCCATCCTATATTAGCATGGTGATACTGTATTTCTTTTGCTTCAAGGCAAGAGTGTGGTGTTAAAAAAATTCTTAATACAGTAGATGCAAACAGTGCCTCTTTTAAAGTCCTCCATTCACTTTTTCGAACTGGTCAAGTTTTTAAGCTGAAATTCAGCACGATGAAATTGATGCATAAATAGTATATTTCAACATAAAAGTGACAGTGGGAAATTTCGTGATGGCGGGTGGGTGCCATTTAAGATCATATTTTTAATGGAATAATGAATCAAAGTTATTGCTTATAACTCCAAAACCCACCATCAGAATGATATGTATACCAATCTTTTTCTCTTGGAAAGGATCTAACTGAATATGTCATACAGTATGAAACATTCATTTTTACAAAAATCGTCATAATCTGTTAATTTTTTCAAATGGAATGTTGCATATTCACATTTAGATAGATGCCCAGACACCATCTGGGAATTTTTTACTGCGAATTTTATATTACAATATAGTCTTCATGCATCAATTTCATCATCCTGAAGTTCAGCTTGCTAACTTTTCTGCCTCAAAATTTTGAAAAGCACTGTACATTTTGACATTGTTTAAAATCCCTTACAACATTAAACTATCTCAGCTTTATGAAGTCTGCCTGTTCCAAAGTTCCATATATAAAATTGAAATCGCACTGTTCTCCTATAGAATTACCTCGACTTATTTGGCAGTGGGCCATTTGCAACCACCTGTTGTGACTCTGTGGTGGTAGACGTAGAAGAAGTCGACCTTTGTGGTCCTTCAGATTTTGCTCTCTCTTGTACTAACATGTCCTTATCTACCTTTTCTGGAATACTAGGAACTGATTTTTTCCTTTCAGACTTTGCATTATTCTCCTTCATTTGGTTTTGATTTTCGCCAGACTTGTGAGACTGCAAATAAAGATTGTTGATCAAAAAGTTGTTTTTATTTATCCTGGGTATTGAGAAATTATGATAAATACCAGGTCAAGCTCACCTCTTTTTTTCTGGCCGAATCTTCAGGTTTATTAACAAGGGACATGGATGATTTAGATGATGATAGAGGAGGGGGATGTGCTTTAGTAGAGATGTGTTGCTGAGACGATGATTTTTGAAGGCTTGGTTCCCGTCTATGCGTGACTCTTCCATCCAACTATGGAAAAATAAATCCAAAGAATTATTTGTAAAACATCATAATATTAATACAGGGTTATTACAAAAGAATCATCGGGTTTTAAAAATATATATTTCTGAAGGTATTACAGATATAACATTAAGTGGCATGTCAATGGAAACGATAATCCAAACGATAATCCAGTTCGGCCCATACACGATTTACGTGGTCGTCAGGTCGTAAGCTTTGTAGCATCTGTAGACGGTACGGTTTGAATCGCAATCGTTTCCGCAAAATTTTCCATACGGTTGGCTGGGGAATACCAAGTTCACTTCCTGCTCTGCTAGTGGACTGTCGCGGAGAACGCGTGAAACTGTGTCTAACTGCGTCCACCATTTCGTCAGGAACTCGTGATCTTCCGGTACTTTTACCTTTAGTAATGGAACCTGTCTTCTTGAATTGTCGATACCATGCTCTGATGACCTGGAGAATCAGTTCCATACCGCCGTCGGAATGCACGTTGCACTGTAACAACCGATAAACATCGCGCTTACTCTAACACACAAAACGCTTCCTGCTGCATAGTCGCCATTTTGTATTCTGAGCTCGTGGCGCTACCTAGGGAGGTAAATCGGCGTTCGCAAGCACGTGCTTTAAACTCGAACATTTTCTTTTTCTAGTGATATGTCATTTGATATTATATTTTTAAAACCCGATGATTCTTTTGTAATAACCCTGTATAATATCAATTGGAGGCATTTGGACTACCAATGTTTTGGTAATGACCAATTAATAGTAACAGTAGTAAACATCAATGATCGGTAGGCTGAGCACCTTTATACCCTGAGGCACATAGAGCAGAGGGATACAATGTCCGAGATCAATAATGTCCTTTTCAAGCAAGGTATGTGGAGCATTTTTTCACTACTGACACAGTATATCACTAAATTCGAGTTTATAAGGTTTAAATAATTCCATTGTATAGCAGTGGCGAAGCTTCCTTGTAACCATTGTTACCATTGGTAACAGTTAAAAATTTAAAAATAAATATTTTATGGCTAAGTACTGTGAAATAATTTCATTTATTTGTTTACCAACAGCGATGTGTAATAGTAATTCAGTAAATAACAAATTAGTTCCACGAAAATAATGCGCCCTATAGTGTGTTTTACGAACACGACGAAGCTTGACTCGCCTCGACTTGGTTGTTACCATTTTCATTTGTGGATGCATTTGGTAGTCCGTCGCAGAGTGTCGGTACCGGCTCGTGTCTGATCGCAGACGCCCGAGTGCGTGGGGCGCTGCGACTATTATGTGGGCTTGTTACCATTTTTTGATTTGGTTACTCACTTCTCACTCGTTAGTAGCCGTTTTGGTTACCAGCTGTAGTGTGCGTGAAATTAATCATGGATAAGTGTCGCTGCGTAATCGATCATCTACTTGAAAAGTCATTCTCCTTGTATAGTTTTTAAGAAAAAAAGGAGATCATTGAAAATGGAAGACCAACACCTATTTTAGATAATTTTAAAAAGGAATAAAAAAACGTAGTTTGATATTTTAAATTAAGTTGGTATATGGAAACTCTTGGTTATGTAGTTTAAAAAAAACAGATTGTATTGTTGGCGATATCTTCTGTTTCATACAGAAAAAATGGGTGGACCAGCAGCGGAGTCAAAGATTTATATAGTTTTAGGGCTCGAAAGAGGAGACATGAAATTTCTCCATTACATGTGAGATATGTAGCCAATTTAACAGGAATCGAAAGATGTCTTAACCAAGCTTTTAGGCAGCTCACTTCTAGATACCGTATGTTTTTTGGCAAAACAGGAATTACCGTTTATTTTGAAGTGGATGACTCTGACAATAGAGGAAATTACAGGAAATTGTTAACATTCATTGCCAAAAAAGATCAAAAATTTTCGAACATCTAGAAACGTGGACTGCTTTTTCGGACGGATTGGATTAGTCATAGCATAAGAACGATGAGGTATATCAAGTGCCCCAGACGATCAATCCAGGAATGTTTACCTTAATTTACAAATAGTTTAAATAAAATACCTAAAATAAGCAAAAACTTATATTTGGGAGGTTCAAAGTAAACTTTTTTAATAAGATTTTTCACATCTGGTTTTGGTAACAGTTTAGGAAAAGTCACGCGTCGCCACTGTTGTATATTGTTATTTACCCTTACCTATTCGCAAAATGAACCATCGTTTCGTTTCATACCAATTTTACAAATATCTGGAAACCACAAGTAGCCTTGCGTTAAACTGACAATTAGCAGGATTGGCTTACGCGCTAGTCTGGTCCATTTCAGTTTAAGAAGGGAATAAGGACCTTGGGTGGAGCGGGACTAAGGGAGGTCCCCGAAGGGAGTAGGCACTAAGTGCCTGCAAGAGTACTATGAGCCTTGAATTGAAATGCAAGGAGGCTCTAGATAGACTAGTAGCAAACCATCTAGTATCGTGTGGGTACCGGGGCACGCTGGGATAAAGGGTAATGACATGGCGGACGCTCTTGCCTAGGGTTAGAAAAGCACTTTTTCAGCGGGGCAAAGCGAACAATAATGGTAATTTATAAGGTTAATTGCAATGCAAAATACTAATGAAGGCTATTTCGTTGAGGATAAATCATCCATGAAAACTGCACAATAAGTCTAATTGGGTCAAATCGTCCCGCAATCTGTTGCGACTCGCTATTATTTAAATCCATCCAAAAGTTATTGGTTCCCTGGTGCAGGTCTGATCTACATTAAATTTGATGAATGATGATGATATAAAGTTATTCTATAATATTCACAATTATACAGTGATTTTTCTCAAATGGAATGCCCTACTCTTCACTACACATTTGGATAAGCCCTTTTAAAAGAATAAGATTGACATAACATACTCATGGATTTTAGATATTAGCTGTAGAATTAATGGGTGTATTATATGAAAAACATAATCTGTTATATTGACAGGAGGAGTCGTCAATTTTGTGTCAAAACTCCTTTATTTTACTCAATTTTAGCCTAATTCATCCATTTTTCAATTTTTTTGAATGATCAATACAGGGTGGTCAAAAACACAAAATCTACTTTCTTGCAGAAAAAAAAATGTGAGTACTATCGAATCCTCATTTTCATGTGCTTTTTTTAATATAAGGTTTCAAAAAAATTGATATTTCTATATTCAATCAAGTCACATCACCCATGGAGGCAAAAAGCAAGTAATGGATTATTGACAATCTGTCTACAAAATCAGGCATTTATCAAGAAACCAAGTAATTATTTGCTTTTGTATTGTAATTACTATAGATTGATTCAAATTATTTGTACTACTAAAAAAATTTCCAAAAACGTCCGCTTGATGTTGAACACACATTCACAGTCTTAGAAGGAATGTTTCACACTCTCTAGTGTGTTCACTGATATTTAGAAATGCATCTTGTATTCTCTGCTTCATATCAACTACAATAGGAGCCTCAGATTGTGTGCTCCACATCAAACAGGTATTTTTTATCATTCTCTATAGTAGTACAAATAGTTTAAATTTTTGTCTTATATACTTATAGATGTCATGTTCAGACATATTAAGATATTAATTTTATATCAACCAGTAATAATGAATTACAACAAAAAAGCATTGAATTACTTGGTTTCTTGATAAAAGCCTGATTTTATAGACAGATTGTCAATAACTCTTAGTGGTTTTTTGCTTTCAAGATGAAATTACTTGTCTGAATAGAGAAATATCCATTTTTTAAATGTCGAGGCTATTACGCAGAAACCGTTTGAACAAATCGCTAACCTTAAACCTCATAAGAATTCTTTTCTTGTAAAAAAGTACATTTTGCGTTTTTGACCAAAAAATGGATGAACTGTGCTAAACCTGAGAAAAACAGAAAAAGACACAATTATTCTTGATTTTACCTGCCAACACATGAAGGCAGTCAAACTTTGATGTTTTTTATACAAAATACTCATTCATTCATCAACTAATAACCAAAACCCGTAAGTATGTTATATCAATTAAGTTCTTTTCAAATGACCTATCCCATGTGTAACAAAGGACATTCCATTTAAGAAAAATCAGCTTTGATATGTGGGTTAAAATTAAGACAGCCTGCATAATTGTCAATATTTTAGAAATATGCCTGCAGATACCATATACATATGTATAACAATCCATGAATAGTTTGAAAACTTTTTGTTTATGAGTAATAAATACTCCGTCCTCGCACGCCTTTTCCTCAAACTTTCGACAGCCTGGCTATCTGTCATTTGCCTGATTTCTCCATTAAAGGATGTCCCAAAAATAAATGAATGAATTACACCCACCTGCTCGTCGTCCGATCCATGAAAAGCCCCCTTGTCATCGAACGACCCGCCCCCATCCGCCGGGTTCTCAGTGGCCCATTCGGGCAGGTGGTCCTCGTGGTCCCAGCTTCCGCCGCCGCCTCCGGGCCGTCTCAGTGTTGGCCTTCCTCCACCCTGCCCTTCACCACCTCCGCTGCTCCAACTGCCCCTTTGCCTCTCGGTAGGCAGACGATCGTCATCGCCGCCTGCCCCGGCCCCCGATGAGTCTCGCCAGCTGGTCGACCGCCCCCACTTTTCGAACATGCTAGACGTGGGGGCGGGCATACGGCGCCATCCCGCCCCATCGTGGCTGCCGCCTGGCTCGCCGCCCAGGTGATCGTCGGACAACGGGCGAGAGCGACGCCAGTTCTCCATGCCGCCTCTGTAAATGAATTTCCAATTTTCAATATTTAATAATAGAGGCTTAGTTTGAGGAGTGAACAGCATTGCGTTAATCTACGATTTGTGGGTATCTGTATCATAAAAGTGCACAATTTATCAAGTCATTTTCCTATATGGCACCCAATTCATACAATGAATTGTGAAGACACTTTCTAAATTGAGTTTGGCAAAGAAAATTAAGCAATTCGTTTTTAATAATGATTGTTGAATAAGTTTTGAATGACTTTGTTTAAAAGTGTACCTGGGTGTTCATATAATTCTTGTATTGTGTCTTGTGGAAAATGTAACATATTCCTCTTTGTTTATACCGAGTCTTGTTTCAACGTGTCATTTGTTCAGGGAGTGCTTTGTTAGTGACATTTTCTTTCTAATTTGCTGACAAATACTAAAGTATTAATCGATTGATACAGATTATTTTGGCAGTGCTTAACTATTTTTATTTGTTAAGTGTAACGTTTCACGCCTACAAGTGACACATGTCGGGGGGGCTTGAGATTTGAGAAGTTATAAGAGTGTACTTTTACAATACTTTGCCTTCTACCCAAATAAATTAAAGGATATATATATATATATATATATATATATATATATATTATTAATACTAATTAACCAAAAATGCACCTGCCTAATGAAGAGATTTGACCTGTAAACTGTACACCCTATCTCCTGATTTGCCAAATCACACAGAATTCCCAGTGGTAACACCTTAATTAAGGTAACCTCATCAGCTAACACTAAGTCTATCCTGTCATTTAAACTCCCTGGGATGCCTCAGCTGTGTATACTCATTATAACATATTGTACATGTATAGTTGTTATCCTGGATACTCTTCCCCGGAAACACTAAAATAAACATGCATTTTGATAGCATAATTACATTCAAATGTGTTTGCAGCTAAAGTTTTCCATTATTTGATAAAATTTAGCAAAACAACATTTGCTGTGCATCTTAAATGTTTTCATAAGATGTTGTTCCCACTAGCTGAGCTATTTTGTTGGTTATCGTTTCTTTACTGAAAACCTAAACATAAGCAACTAGTAATTCATCAGGAGCTAATTAATTTGATTATGAATTGGTGATTATCCTAGAACACCAGTAAGCCACGGGTCAAAAAGGTTTGCATGAACCTACCATAAAAGAAAACAAAAATATTTAAAATCACTGGTATATTATCTCAGGGGGAGATTCTAACGACGCCTCCTTAGAGACTTTCTCGATATTCAACTCACCTCCCTCCACTATACTCCTTCCTGGGACTCCACTGATCACTGGTCGGGTCAGCTTGCACACTTCCGGGGCCGCCAGCAGTCCCCGGCCCGCCCCAACTCCCGTCATACGCGCCGCGGCCGCCCCCACCGTACTGGTACCCCCTGCCCCTGCTCGGTCTTCCTCCTCTGTCCATGGAGCCGCCCCTAATGCCACCCCGGCCCAGGCTGGGCACGCCGCCTCCGAGGCCCCCTCCGCTGGCGCCAGGACGGTTTCTGCCACCCCCTTATCACCGGCGCTTGCTGCTGGGAGGCAAGCATCTGGAAAAATTAATGGTTGGTCATGATATAATTTTATGTAACAAAGTTTTATTTAATTTAGAAGAAGATGGTCGATTTCATAAGTTTCAGACTGATATATTTTATTGTTTTGTAATCTACCGCCATTAATTGGCACATACACTAGATAGGCACTTTCCAGCACACATTTACATCATTTATTAGTAAATATTTCCATCCCTTAATTCTGCCAGGAGTGTATTGTCACTACAACACAATTCACCCTGTATTCCATAGAACAAAACAAATCCTACTAATAGAATTAATTTAGTCTATTGGAAAGAACATGAAATAATGCAAGGTTATTCACAGCATATATTAATATAAATGAGATTCAGATTTGCGTGAAAATATGAAACAATACCAAGCAATAAAAGGTTAATTGTTGGTTTGCAGTACAACTGTTTTGATATATTAACACGTTTTATTTTGCTAATAGAATAATGTTTAATTACTATTAGAACAATCAAAATTAATATATAGTCTAATGGTAATGAATATGCCTCTTACCAAAACTCATATTACATCTTTCTGATTTGTAAATTTGTAGCAATTTAGGAGACCTCAAGAATAACCATGCAGATGGAAGTTTGACTCAGACTATAATAATGTGTAATTTAACATAAGAAAAACATAAAAGTATGGTTGCATCCACAGGTTCACAATGTATTGACAACAATCTTATTTTGACATTATCTTCTGTGGGCTTATGAGAATAGGTAGTTTTGATTCAAATACATATATGTTACTAAAACGTCTCTAAATTATTGAGTATGTTTTAAATCTAAATGTGTGGGTAATTACAAGTTCTTGATGTCCAAAAAGTTCGCATACTATTTGAAAAAATGTAACATTGCATATACACAGCTTTCACATGTGTTTTCTACATATATTTACAGTAGTTGTATCCAAGTATGATAAGCCCTTGGTCATCAAACAATCATCATATAGTTCCAAATGAATGTTCTATCAAACACTATCTCAGTTATCCTGAATGTAAATACAGATAAAACATAAAATCATTTATTTCAGAATATTTTTTTGCATATCAGCCTCTATCTTATCCACATTTGTTTATCCACATTTTTGTTAAATGATGAATTTACATATGAATAACCAATTTCCCCTTTGATAACTTTCCTATGGTATTTCAAGAATATGTATAAATTGTCAAATATATTATGCTTAGAATTCTGAGGTATCTGTCTCTGACTCTCTGGTCGTTTGAGATTATACAAAAATGGTTATTAACATGGCAGACATAGATAAAACAGTAATACAAGTTTTTGTGCATGTTATTCACATAATTTTTTATTATTTATGGGTCCTCCACATCTGTCACATTTATGTTGAGATACTAATATTCTGTGATTTTTTCCAGCACACAAAACAAAAGAAAACTGATGTTTATATCATTTTAATGAGCTAAGTATACCTCTATAATGGTAAATGACGAGATAAATAAACAGAACCCATATGTGCAACATGGGTTACTAAAATATTTTTTATTTTTACCTTCAGTTCTGCACTATCCCTTACACTATGTCTGACTTCTGGGCTACCAGATCCAACAGACACTGATTTACAATGACTATTACCCTCAGACCACCTTGAGAAGAAATGAATTGCACTTCTTCTAAGCTAGGTAAGCTTGGCTTCTTGACTATTCTTCAAGATTATCATTGTAACTGATTTTCCATAAGCAAGCTGTTTCAACATCTTAAAGCTTGGCATATAGTACCAAAGATCCAGATATATAATTCTATACATTCTTACTAAAATTAAATCTTCTATCTGATAACTGAGGAATTTAGATACTTTTATAAATATCTAACAAAATATTTTCAAATAAAATTTGATATTAGGACCTTAAAATACTATCAATACATCATTGTTATTAAAAAAAATCAATCATCATGAACCTAATTACTCACTTCTTCTTCAGTTGTTGGTAGCAATGCTAAAGGTGATAGACACTGTTCTGAATAGAGGCATTTGAAGTTAGTAATTGAGGCAGGAGGTTTGGCATTTTTGTCAAATAATGCCAACATCTCCTCTCTCCCATATCTGAAATAAAATAACAGTTACTCAATTTACAAAATATTATTTACTCAAAGAAAGTTAGAAATTTTAGAATATATTAAGAAGGCCTAATCATGCAATATAAGTATTATTAGTTATGACCATGTTTAGATTGTGGGTAGGCAACAGATTATATGAGTTCTAGCAATTTTTGATTACCCATTTACCATTTGATGCACTAATCACAGAACATACACAGAAATTTCTGAATCGGTATATAAATTATGAACAGCTCTTGTAGGTCATTTGCTTGTTCTCATTATACATTATCAGCAATGACATTTTGTGGTTCACCCGCAAAAATTGGTTGTCAGCTTATTTGTCTACCAATACATTTTATAAATAGCAATAACTGTTTTGCCCCATTTATTTCTTGTGATTTAGTGAGCTTTGTATTTGGCTGTGATTTCATACTCTGGTATGCAATAGGCTAAAAGTGTTTGCATACATAATTGCAAACTTATGTATTTTTTCATATCACTCAATCAAACTTTTGACAAGTTTTCTTTTATGGATAAAATTCAGTAAAAACACTGTGTAATGATTTTATCTTTATGTAGCCTTCTATATATTGTAAATCATCTACATTTGTTAAAATGATAGTGATTTTATGATGATCTCCATTCATGTTAATAATATTCCAAGCTATGGATGCACTGAATACTAGTTTTTTAAAAATATCGAGTCCAGGTACTTTGTGAAGTGATTAGTGCTGGATTATTTAAGTTACTATTAGTAATATTAAGGGTTTCTGAAAGGTAATCTTTGTAATAATTTTTTTTTCGTTTAAAAAAATTAACACATAACACTATGAGTTGTGTGGCTGGGACAATTTTTTTCGATGGGTGTATGTATTTATGATAATTTCATTTTATTATTTAAATATCATTTGTTTACTTTATTTGGTCATCAAAATGTGCTCAAAATAGGTAGGCAGTTAATATAATTTTCACAATAAACGAGTGACCTCATATCCTTGTTTCTTAACATAAACAATGTCTCTTAAAATGTGGTTAGAAGTCGGCTGTCATCAAGTGCCATTAGATGACATAATTTAGGCATTCAAAAAATAAATTATTCCAGAGCTGCTCAGTATATCACTCTCAAACCAAAAACCACTAGAAAGCAGCTCTGAGTAAAACTTCATCAGTCAATCTACATTCCATTACTGTGTATAGTATTACATTAACCTATTTTACCTTTATTAATATTATTATTAAACAACAAATTTGAGTTGAGTACAAGTACTATAAACTCAAACACATAAGAGATAATAGTGTACAGACAAAAGAAATATAACAATTTGACAATCTTAGCACTTCTGAAGTAGACATATATAGAATGGGAACAATATGTTAAGCACTGCGGTGTCTATATGATGGAAGACTGATCCATGCATCGAAGACACAGTTTGAGATAAAGCACTGATGGGTAGAGGTTCTAAAAGCTTCCTTCTGCAATTTGAAGTTATATCTGTTGTATTTGAAAGGATTTTCAGATAGCTGTACCTGGAATGTATAGCTTTTCACTTTGCTCACCAGAAGCATGCCAACTAAGCTTCTGCTATGCTTATTGGGCAACATAGCTTTAGGCTGTTTAATATAGACACATAGCTGATTACAGTGTGAACATGGTCTCTATCACATATGTAAGAAACTTCAATATCATCTGAATGTTGTTAGAATTTGTGTGCATGATACAGTGGTAATTTCACAAAATTATTTAATCTATTTCAGTTATTATAAATGGGAGGTAGTACATTATTACAAAATGACAAAAAAAATTGCAAATAAAGTCAAAAGATTTAAGTTGTGCATGTTATATGAAAGTATAAAATTACAAGGATAATAAACTATAGTAACATACTATTCTGACTGAAATTTAGCTATGAATATACAGAGGGTTCTGGAAACAATACTAACCGATACTCTGCAAGCTGATACCGTGTCCCACCACCTGTGCCTCCACCAGTAATTCCTGTACTTCCTTCAGAAGACAAGTTGCGAATCCAGTCTGGACCAAAATTCATTGAATCAGTCATCCTGAAACAGATCAACACAAAGCCCTATTTGGAGTAGGTATTCAAAACTCCGATCAGCACGTTTCCTCTTTTATACTATTGAGTAATAAGATAACAAATGAATTGTCCAACAGCCAAAGCAGTTATCCACAAAAATGGAGGTGACTATTTTTAGTATCAAAAAAATGGTTGGTTTTGGGACTTGTACTTTCTCATATGCTGTTTGAAGTGTTATCGTTTTTGTGCGGATACATATTCAATTCATCTTAAAGCACGTTCGAAACTGAAAACAAGGCCCCAGGCTTATGGACTAGGTGGCATTTCAATTAACATACATTGGGCATTCAAAAGCAAATTAGGCGCTCCAGCTGTACCATTGCCGACTTATTTCATGAATGTAAATATTTTTTAGGCGTGTAGTTGATCAGCTACTGAATTACCTGGATTTTTCTTTTTGTTACACTTGGTAAAATGCAATCAACATAAATGGCTGCAGCGAAATTGTAGGTTATCGCGCATGTGCTCCAAAAACGAAAATGACATAATAACTTAACAAAATAAAAATTACTAAATTCGAAACCAAGGAACGGCAGCTTGAAGTTTTTGAAAAGAAGACTTTTCACGTGATCCCACTTCCTCTAATCATTGGTTAACGATTTTTATGGATGATCTTCAACCAATCATCTAACAAAAATCAAGCACTTCCTTTTTGAAAGAGAAAATTAACATCCCTACTTCCCTAGTTTTTTATTTTTAGTACGTTCTAGGTTATCAAGGAAGTAGGTAGTAGGTACTTCCGTCAATGGTACTTCCATACTGAAAATAATGTAGCGATTATCGTCAAACGTGGACAAATTATTCTATTGTGTGTGTGTGTGTGTGTGTGTTAATTCATTTTTTAATTGTTGAATATTTAACAAAGGATTTCCTAAGAAACATGAAATAAATGTAATTCAAATACTGAAGGAGTACCTTTGTAAGGACATAAGTCTAGTCATTCTAGTAATTACAACGCCTCTGGAATAAAAATATTCCTCTCTAATCAGTTACTTTATTACTGAAAGCTATTACTAGATAATATTGTCAGCGTGTAATATAAAGTTCTGTAACTCGTTATTTTATTTATAAACAATTTTTAAACTGTGTACTCCTGTAATTATCATTCTTAAGGTCACTGGGCTAAAGTTGTGTACGTTAGTTCGAATTGTCAACGTTGGATGACAGTGGTTCACTTAAAATGTTTCCATAACTTTAATAGTCACTGGTAGATGGCAGAAACACAACATGTATTGAATGTATTGCTAAAAGCTGTCAAGAAAAATATGACAACAATTTGTTAGGCATTCCAATACTAGATAGCACTACAATTCCGAGAAATTAGTATTATATATCGATGATAGGTAGCGGCACAATTACGATAAGTGCAATTTGAATGCATCGCGCACCGGCAGCCGGCCGCCAGACGAAAACAAAAACAAAATCAGTCATCTCGGAAACTTAGGCAGTGTAGTAAAGCAAGGTTACTGAGTGTAGTGTGCGCGTGTAGGGATACGGATTGGGACTTTGTAATAGTGCTGAAATCCACATGTTTTGAGTGGAAAGTTTTTTCTTTCACGATCCTTTCCGGATGATGATGACTCAATCAGTTCATCTACCTGCTCCGAGGTAAGTGGTAAGGTTAACTCATGTAGTTCGGAAAGAAGTTGAACCACCGCATTCCTCTACCTGAGAACGGATTGAGGCCCATCCGGCGTTCCTTGTAAATTGTAAAGGCTCAGCCGGTACCGTGCACTAGGACTAAATTCTTGCTGTATGAAAGGGCTTCTGTGGTGTTATGCTCCTGATTGGTATTTGGATAAGGAATTTGCTATTATTGAGATGTTTGGAAGGATAATTATATTTGTTGTTAGAGAATAATATTTCTTAGCTCTTCAATTTCTTAAAAATGAGCACAATATAAGTAGGTGTTTGATATAATGAATAAATAAATTATGTATGTATAATTTGAATTTTGGAACTGTTCAATATTTTTTGCGTTTCACTTAAAAACACAAATCCGTTCTGAATATTCCAACATCTCCCATGTTATTACGCGTTCAGTCTTACCGTGATGTAAAATATACCCTATTCTATACAAAGTACCTAGGTATCTGGAATACTAAATACAAAATACTTTTAATTAGGAAGTTCAGATACCAGACAGAAAATACTTTCTGGAACGGTATTTGAAATTCTAGATAATCTTTCGGATAAAGTTTATTTTATTACATGAACTATTTACGCGTTGATCGCGCAAATGTGTCAAAATATACTTTTTTGGTTTTAATATATAGACAAGTAGAACCAATTTTCAAACATTTTATTGCTCATTTTTTTTCAATGACGCCTTATCATATCCCCAAAAGAATCGCCCCACATGGACAGAATTTTGCAGTCATATGTTATTGAAAAATATGTTTTATGTAGGATGTAAACTTTTTAAGCTGTTATCTTCATTATTTAGGTATTGCAGTGCTTATACGTCAGCTGTGATGACGGAAGGCCATTTGTTTTCACTATTTTCACCACTTGCAATAGAGGAATCGTAATCTAAGAACATTGTAATAAGATTAGACTTTTTACTTTGTTTATATTCACGGTATCCCAGTATTCCGTGGACAAAGAAGTACCACGTATTTTTAGACTCAAAATAAGTCGATTGGACATAATTTACATCTGTGCGGGTGTTTCATTTGTCCGTTAGAAGGCTTTTTCATTTTAAAAGACATTTTTTCTCATTTTAAGAACCGATACTTCGAATTGAATGAAATTTAGAACGTCAAAACACGTCCGTGTGCACCGCCTGTTAAACGTATCCTCTGGTAAACAAAATTTTCTTGTGAAATGACCTATCAGCTGCTCTGCGTTCTGATACATTATTTACAAATCTTAAACGTGAGTCGAATAAGTTGTTCGTTTAAAATCCGGTAGGCAGTGCTTTTTTGAACTTGTTTATAAACAACATAAATGTTCTAATCTATCTGCGAGTGCTGATACCTGGATCTTCTTCGACCAATTTTTTCTCTAGTAGCGTTCGGCAGAGTTATTTCGTAAAACACCTATAAAATGTAGAAAAAAACGATACAATGTCAACTTGTTGACTAGATAGCTGGTAGTGTGCAAATAGTTCATTCTGTGCCTGCTACAAGTGAGCATGAACTGAACGACAGCTAGTTCCTAGTTCAGGTAGCTAGCTCCAAAAGCTGGCTCCACAATCCTACCGGCCGCTCGATTACAGCGGACCGAATAAATGCTGTCCGCCTGCGATACGCCGTGGCCGTAGGTAGCGTTACTCATAGAAGCCCGTGACGCGCATACGAGGTGAGCGCGGTAATTATACTTCGAAGTTGAGTCATTTATTTTAACAGTGAGTAGATCTGATCAAAAGAAATGTTTTTTTCCTTTACCATTTTTCTGGTAAAATTAAAGTAACAAAGTTATAGCCCTTTGGAAGTTTGAGTACCGCCCTGTCTCAATTATAATATTATGTGCTCGTGTTTGGCAACAACGGATATAATCCGCCTTATCGGTTCATCGCATCGAAAACAAAAAAGCGAAAGAATTTGGAACGATGTTTTTACAATTATTTTATTCCGTTGTATACAGTCAGTGTCAGTCGGTAACGCGTGAGTGAATAGTGGTGTCTGTTGCGTGGCTCAAACGAAATAAAAAATGGCACATGTTTATGCGGATCGGTTTCCCAATCGAGTGCAACCAACCCCTCGTGCCTTTGTTAATGTAGTACAACGGGCTCGTGAATCAGGTGACTTAAGACCTCACAGGCGACGGCATGCCGGTGCTCCAAGACCTCACGATCAAATACAGGTCCGCACTGAAATACTTGTCGGGAGGATACTTTATAAAACAAGGTAAAATTTTTTTTTTATTTTTACACACATATTTTGGTTTATCTTCCTTCTACAATCATTATCTGAAAATTAATGACTCAACTTCAAAGTCACCCTGTATACAGGGTGGCGCATCGAAAACGAAACAGACGCATTTACTGGCAGCTCAGTTTTTTTTTAAAAACGCTCAGGCCCGTCGATTTTGTTTTCGAGGGGGACATAAGTTTGGCAAAAAATCACGTTAGCACGTGCAGCCCCCTAAGCGGGGGTGACACCACCCCCAAAATCTTAAATGGAAAGGGGGTCGAGTGATACCTTATTTTAAAGGTCTTTCCCTTTATAATGATATAAAATTAATGTACTTCAGTTCAGTATTTTTGAAGATTTATTGATTTAAAGCTTAAATAAAACGAATACATCATCATTAGTGGAGATCAATACATTTGGCAGCAAAGTAATTTAAAAATGAAGAATGAAGTGACCCGTTATACAAGTAAATGTTGAAGATGGCCACCATGACTCTCCATGCAATAATAAAGATTTTGCTCAAAACGTTGCCGCACATTTTGCAATATTTAATGAGTAATTTGAAGCCACTCATTCACAATTCTTTGTCGCAGGTCTTCTAATGATGTTGGCTGAGTAGCACAGATTTTGCTTTTTAAATGACCCCACATAAAGAAATCCCAAGGTTATAAATCTGGCGATCTTGGGGGCCATTCAATGGCACCTCTTCTACCAATCCATTGATCTGGAAACGTCTGATCTAAATATTGTCGAACACGTAATGCGTAATGTGGTGGGGCACCATCCTGTTGGAACATCAACCTATTCGTAAGTAATGTACCGCCGATCATTCTGATTTCAATTATGGCTGTTAATGCAGGATCTGTAGCGTCTTCCAGTAATTCCAAATACATTTCACCGGTCAAATTTCCAGGTAAGAAAAAAGGACCAACTAAATGATCGCCAAAAATACCAGCCCAAACATTTAATTTTTGTGGTTGCTGTGTATGAACCTCATGATAGAATCGGACCAATATCGGCAGCTATGACGATTTACTACGCCATTTAAGAAAAAGGAACATTCGTCGGAAAAGCAAGTGTTGAATAGAAAATGTTCATCGTTTATAATTCGTTCACTCATATCTTCACAAAATTGTAATAGCCGATCAAAATCGTCTTCATTAAGTTCTTGTACCTAGGTGAATTTTATCCGGATGAAAACTATTGGCCTTTAGAATCCGCTGGACAGTACGTCGACTAACACCATACACAGTCTCCAATTTGCGGGTACTTAACATAGGATCTACATAAACTTGCCCTAAAACCCCCACTTCTATTGCTTCGTTCCTTATGGGATTTTCAATGTTGCGTTTTTTATTGACGACTGACCCAGTTTCCCGAAATTTAGCTACAAGTTCTAGAACATATTTTCGATGCACGTTACTGTTGTCATGTCGTTCATTAAATATTTCTGCTGTTGTATTAGCGCACTGATTATTTCCGAAAAATATTTCGATAATTTCAACTCTTTCTGCTGTGGAATATACCATGGTTAATTTATGTAATAAAGCGTTACAAGTTATTTTAGCAACAAAGTTTGGTCAAATCAATCGCAAACTATGTACTAAATT